CCCACTGAAAGTGGGTCGAACCGGGACTCTGAGGGAGGACCGCATGCTTGGCAACCCTTTGCCGCAGCTGAGATTGATCCGACAGCCACTCTTGCTGACGTCCATCCTGAGGAGTCTGTTCCATTCCTCATTTTTGCCCAGGAGTATTGGCCGGAGCTTGTTGTGATTCCGGTTGTGCAGCCTGTCAACATTCATGGTGTTTTTGCGAGTGTTGCGCAAGCGCGCCAGCCAGCGGCACATAGACGTAGTCCTACGCTTGTTGCGGTCTTTCCCCAACCGCGCGTGCGACAAGCTTGCTTACTTGCACTACCTGCTTGGCCTGGCAGTATTCCGGAGTTGGCATTCTTATTGATTGTCGAGTCGGGTCTCCACGGCTCTTCGCTGTCATTGCTCCGCACTTTTTCACGCCAGACGTGCTTCTTGGCCTTGCTGGCCTCCATGATGCCCAGCACCTTTCGGTTTTTCACCGAGATGTCCCGTGGCCGTGTCCTCTCGGCGAACAGATTTTTCCTGAGGAGGGCGATGTCTTCACTATATGCCTTGATCCCCGCCGACCATGGCATTATCAGGATCTTGGTCGATTCCTTGCCTCTTCACCCCAGTGGGATTGCGTCCCAGACATTCCAGGAGGTGAAGCTGGAATATCTTGGATTCTGTCCAATGGCGTGCACGTTGCTGTCCCTGTTGCTAGTGACAACTTTGCGATCAAGAACGCCACGGTTGCAGAATCCCTTGACCTCACTCCTGGCCAGTTCGTTGTCGTTCCTGCGAGTCCTACAATCACCGATCACGCGTACAGGGGTCGTTGTTCACAAGCTGTCCTCTTTGCGTGCACGGTTGAGGACTACATTCCCGGCGGTTCAAATGTTCGAATCCCCTACATCCTTGACCTTAGACCGGTTTTGTCCCGGCTGCTAGGTGTTTTTGCCGCCAGTGGCGTTGTCGACGTTGCTGAGATTGCCTCTTTCTTGCTTGCTAGGTGTCCTGCCGGCCACCACTTGAGGTTATATGGCGGTAGTTTTCAAGGTGACGAGGGAAACCACTATCGTAGGGTCGATCCCGGCGAGGTCATTACAGCTGAGTTCCAACCTGACTACCTTAATGTTTTGCCCCCCAATCCTGCAGGGTCCGCGATTATCCGGCCTCCACGTGCAGGTGGCGGGGAATCGAGTCACGGTGAACAGGGCTCCGAACGGCCTTCTGAATCCTCTGCTGCCTCCAGTCGTGATGCGGGGACAGGGGGTACGCGACGTGGTGGCCCACCCCGTGCACATTGCTTTGTTGCCGATGCACGCCCCACTGTTGGGATTAGCAACCTTGGCCATGCTTACCAGACTCTTTACCTTGCTCCTTGGATAGGAAGCCAAGCTGTCACTGCTCGGCTTGCACATCTTGTCCTCCTTGCCCAGTTCCTTGGGATTGTCATGTGGGCTCGCAGTTACCTTGAATCATGCCTTGTCGATGGCACCTGCGAGGTCACCCCTGTCTTCCGAAGGTTCTCTGGCAGGTCTTCTGAATTTCCAGACAGTGGGCTTTGGCATCTGCTGTGGGGAGCCTATCGCCGTAGCCTCACTGCCATTAGCTCCCTCGCCACCCTTGGCTGCCGTTATTTATTTGCATGCTGTGCCACTTTTCTGTTGCATGCCCGGATTCATGTTAGTGGCGGATGTTTTGCCAGGCAGGTCGCACTAGTCCTAGTCTTACTTTGCCTACAAGCCAGTGTTTGCGAGACTGTGCAAGTCCTTGGGAAGACCGCTGTTGCTCGGGAATCCGGAGCAATTGAGGATTTTGTTGCTGCGGTTGGTGTCGACACTGTCAATTTTGGCACTTCTGCCGGTGCCATTGACACAAGCCCGTTCTGCTCTGCGTATCAGCAGAGGAAGCATTGTCCCCAGAGCAGAATCCTACCCACACCCTGTAGGAGTAATACTCTTCCCAGGGTTGAGACTGACTTTCGGGTTGAGGTAGGTAGCACCTTGCTTGAAGAGGCCGTTTGCCGTCAGGGAGATGCCACATACTTTGAAACCCGGGTCGTAGTTGAAACGCTGCTCGAACACTTTCAAGGGGTCACTGCATGCAGCTGACTGGGGTCCTGAACCGTGCCTCGCAGAAACCTCGGCTTATGTCATAAGCCTTGCACAGAGCTTGCCACAGTGCATTCGCCATGATGTCACGCATGTGACCATGCCATCTGGCATTCAGGTTGGGTCTGTCGCGGCTGTATTAGGCTCTTCCTGGATTCCCGAACACGTATTGCCGAAAGGACTGTCGTGGCATCGTGCTACATCTGATGCCCTTGGGTCCCTTCTCAGCTATGAGGTCGGAAGTAGTGCAGGAGTCGGCAGTCTTGATATCTTTACCGATGGTTCCTTCAATGGGTGCTCCAGCTCCTGGGCCTTCGCCGTCGTTGCTCACAACACACTTGGCTCCTTTCTCTTTGCTTGGGCGAAGGGTACAGTTGCCCTGTCAGGGCAGGCTTGGCATATAGGAGCTTCTGAGCATTCTGCAGTCAACGGTGAGCGCAGTGCGGTCTTTTGGGCACTCAGTTGGCTCTTGGGTGTGCGCCAATCTTGCCCCTGCACAGTCCATTGCGACTGTCTTGTTGCTATGTATCAGGCCTCTGGTATCTTTGGAGGAACACATGAATCCGGCCTCGCAGCATCTTGTCGTTCGTTGGCACAAGCAGTTGAATGCACACGTCATTTCGGTGCAGCCTCCTTCCAACATGTTAGGGGGCATTGCGGTCATCCATACAATGAGCTTGTTGACACCCTTGCCGGAGCTGTCCATCTACCGGACTCTTTGGTCCCTGCGCATCTTCTACACTTGTGCAAGTGGGCTTGCGATGGCTCCATAAGTCGACTCTGGTTGTCGGTTGCCGCCTTGCTTGAACCACAGCAATGGCCTCAGTGGCAGTACGGTTGCTTCCGGGACCCCATAGGTAACACGACCCTAAGTGCTGAGGGTCTTGAGGGCTCTGATTTTTTCGGCAAGCAAATCGACGGTGGTTCTGGCACGACCAGGGAGCCTGGCTTCTTTCGGGTTTGTGCTAGCTTTGTGACTGTTAATGTTCAGTCTCTCTGTGAGGACGACAAAAGTCCTTTGCCCAATCGGGTCCCTTTCGTCCGTACACAACTTGAGGACTGTGGATGCGCTGTGGCTGGCCTCCAAGAGACACGGGTGAGGGACACCGCCACTGTCTTGTCGGATAGCCATATTCGCTTCACTTCTGCTTGTGATGGCAGTGGAAACCTTGGTGTTGAGCTGTGGTTCTCGAGAAAACAACCCTTTGGGTGGGCGGGTTCTACACCGCTTTATTTTGATGTCCAACACTTCAGGGTCCTTTCCTGGTCACCGCGTGCCCTATTGGTCCGGTTTGTGCACGGCTCCTTGAGAGTCCTCTTTGTCTCATGCCATGCGCCAACTGCTGCACACCCATCCAGGGAGTCTTGGTGGAAGCAATTTGCTGATCTCCTTCTTTTGAATGCCAAAGGTGACCGGGTTGTCATTCTCGGTGACCTCAACTCCAGGCTATGCCAAGAGCTTCCCGGCCGGATTGGGTCTTTTGTTTGGGAAGCCGGTGCTCAGCCTCCTGAACCGTTTTACCGGCTTCTTCGCTGTCTTGACCTGTGGGTCCCCTCGACATACTCAGAGTGTCATGTCGGACCGGGTCACACGTGGGTTGCGCCTGGAGGTTCTGCTGTATCTCGCATTGATTTCGTCCTTGTCCCTACCAGTTGGTGGGTCCCATCCGAAGGATCCAGGGTCCTGTACTCTGTTGACTTCGGTCAGGCTGGTCTAGATCACTTTGCGGCGCAACTCTTTGTTGACGTCAGGCTTCGGGCTAGATTGCACTTCCAAGGAAAGGCCCTTAAGTTTGACGTCGCACGGGCATGTCAACCTCAATCTGCTGCGCAGGTTCACGCTATCTGTGCCACAGTTCCTGCAGTTTCTTGGGATATAGACGCCCATAGGCATTACCACGAGGTTTCTTATCACCTACTGCGGGGACTTGCCCATCAGTTCCCTGTTGCTCGATCAGTAAGGCGCAAACCTTTCATCTCTGAAACAACTTGGTCGCTGCGTCAACAAAGGGTCGAGCTTCGGCGTCAGGCCCACATTTCCAGCGGTGCCCTCGGGCATTGGGAGCTTGATTGTGCCTTTCGCTCTTGGCATACCGCCCTTCCTTTGACTCGGTCTTGCAGGGCCGGTCTGGCTGTGCTCTTGCGCGACATTGCCCAGCTGCACCATTCTGTCCTGGAACTGCGCAAGCTTCGGCCCGTTTTCCGTAAGGCTCTGCGATCGGACCAGAGGTGTTATATTTCTGAGGTAGCTAATGCCGCTGCCAGTTCCTCCACCAAGGACGTAGTCCAGAAACTGAGGCCTCTTCTTGGCCCTCCTCGACGGAAGCAGAGAGGAGCTGTCCCGCTCCCTGCCCTGATTCTTGAATCTGGTGAATTTGCCTCTACTCCTGCCGAAGCTGACGCTCGATGGCTTCGACACTTTAGTTCTGTTGAGCAGGGTGGTCCAATCTCACCGCAGGACATGGTCCTTCGATGTTTGGAGCGGCAGCGGGCTCAGGATTTAGAAATGCTTGAGGTCAGCGAGCTTGACCTTCCTACAAGATGTGAGCTCGAACGGTCTCTCCGGGCGGCCAAGCCGGGCCGCGCTGCAGGAAACGATGGCTTGCCCCCGGACATTCTCCACTCGTTCGCTGGTCCGCTTTCGGCCATACTGTATCCGATCCTTCTTAAGATAGCATTCAGGCTACAAGAGCCCCTTCATTTCAAAGGGGGCACTGTCAGACAGATCTGGAAGTGCAAAGGTCCCTTGGAGCATTGCTCCAGTTACCGCGGCATCTTAGTGTCCAACACTGCTGGCAAAAGCATACATGGAGCTTTTAGACAGCGATGTGGTGATTGGTACAATGCTGCTGCCACACCGCTCCAAGTTGGGGGCCGCAAAGGCTTTCCTGTTCAGCTAGCAGCACAAGCTGTCAGGGAATTTCAATCTGGTCACCTTCGTCGAGGGCTTAGCGTTGCAGTGGTGTTCCTCGATGTTAGAGAGGCTTTCCACAAAGTATGCCGGCCTCTCGTTCATGGTGGCGATTTAAGCGACTGTCATTTGACCTCTGTCATGCAGTCGCTCGAACTTGGACCAGAGTGTCTTCCTGAGCTCCGCTCCTATGTAGGAGAGTGCTCCCGGCTACAGGCTGCTGGGGCCTCTCCTTGGGCAGCAGCTGTCATTAAGGAATTTCAGGCCGACAGTTGGCTTACAATAGGACAGGGGTTAGGGGTTGTTGAATCTGGCACGCGGCCAGGTGACTCCCTTGCGGACATAGTGTTTTCATTTTTGTTCGCGGCCGTGCTGCACAAGGTCAGAGATGCTCTTTGTGCCAAGGGGTGTTCAGCTTCCTTGGCATGCTACGTGGTTCAGATCCATCTGTGCACCGGACGATATAGGCAGCGACTCATTAGCTCCTGTCGATGTCTCCTGGATGGATGACTTAGCACTTTTGCTATCTGCCCCCACTCCTGGAGCCGTTGTTGCGGCTGTTGGTGGTGCCACCGCCACCCTGCTGGACGAGTGTCTCAAAGCTCTGCTGCATCCGAACCTTGACCCTGGCAAAACTGAGGCGCTTGTGTCACTCGTTGGTCCTGCTTCCCGACGTGTCCGCAGCGACCTCTTTCGATCCAAAGACCCAAGCCTTTCATTACCCTCAGTTATGTGGCCTACTGCCCGGGTTCGTCTTGTCCCCTCGTACAAACACCTTGGTGGGGTCTTGCACTGGTCAGGCATGCTCAAGGCTGAGTTAAAAGTTCGATGTGCCCAGGCTTGGCAGGCTTTCCGAAAACACAGGCGTCTTATTTTCGGTTCACCAACCGTCACTCATCGTGAAAAAGCTCTGCTCTTCCTCTCTCTTGTCACCACGCGCTTGCTTTATGGTGCTGGTACCTGGGTACTTGAAGGTGACGCACAAATAAATAAGTTACAGGGCACGCTTCTCGCTATGACAAGGCAAATGCTCCGACCCACATACGACCGTGAAGCGTCTCTGCACCTTGGTGGTCGCAAGGTCTTGTCTGTCGCCAGAATTCCTTCTATGCGTACCCTGATCCATGTTGAACGTCTGCGGCATCTTGCTATCATCATGCGTGTTGCTCCGCAGGAGTTCTGGGCGATTCTGCACTATGGTGGCAAATGGTGCGAGCTTGCCCGAGACTCCGTTGCGTGGCTGAGCAAGCAGCTTGCAATTGGAGGGCGTCCTGAGCCTGCACTTGATCAGTGGGAACCCGCTTCCAAAATTATGCTTGATTCGCCGTTGCTTTGGAAGCGCTGGGTGAGGCGAGCACAACAGGTTGCTTTGCTTGCTGAACTTTGGGAGGCTGAAGTCCAGCATTATCACGGTTTGATGCTTAGACAACTGCTTGCAACAGGGGCCACTTATGATGATGATACCCTTGACAGGCCAAAACATGAAGCGTGTGCTGCTTGCCAACAGCGGTTCCCTGACCTTCGTTGCTGGAGCCATCACGCCTTTAAGAAGCATGGGCGTGTCAAAGAGTCTCGTCTTTTCTCTGTCGGAACGCAGTGCCAGGCGTGTCTGAAACATTTTGCCTCCACTTTTCACCTTAGTAATCACCTCGATTACTCTGCTCCTTGCTTAGCCATTGTTGCAGGGCAGGTTGGATATGTCGAGCTTGAGCCGGGTCGTGGGAGTAAGAAGTTCAATGATGGAAGCAGTGTCATGCTTCCGGCAGTGCTTGCTGACGGTCCCACTCGACCAAGCCATGCACAGAATTTTGTGCCCGAGAGTCGCCGTCCTGATGAGTCTGTTCTCCAAGGACTCGAGTGGCTTTTTTGTAGGGAAGATGAAGTTCTTGACTTTACTTCCTTGCTGGCAGAGGTCCGAAAACTTTTCCTGCGTACCTGCCTTCAACAATCTCGACTGCAGGCCACTGCTGAGGCTTGGAGGATTCGTGTGCAGGCTGAACTTGCTTGCTCAGAGGAGATCTCTGTGCGATGGGCCTCTTGGCACAGTCGGATCTCCCTTCACCTCTGCCAGATTGACTTTGTTGATTGGCTTGTTCCCGACGCTGAAGAAGGTGATCATGCCATGTCTACTTTTCGGGACTGCTCGGTTGTGCTTCCTTGGCTCAGCTTTGAGCATGTGACCTTGCCTTCGGTTGAGGATCCAGATGGTCACAGGTCTATCCTGATCTCGACTGATCGTTCGCTTCTTGGCCGAGACCTCCGCCCAGGAGTTCGTTGGTTTGGGCACCTGTCGTGCTCGCAGAAACCCTCTCTCCTTGACTTCACGACCTGGTCGGGTTGTCCTCCGGCTACATGTGGTTTCTGCTTAGTTGGACTTGTCGGCTCTCTTGCACCAGTTGCACCGATCAAAACCTTCAAGCAACTTGAGCCCCGACTACAGCGCTTACGGCTTTTTGCCGATCTTGTGCGAGGGGTCATTCTCCTGTGGTCACGTGGAGTCAGAGCTTTTCTTGTCGCTGAACCGATTGACTGTCCTGGTCTTTCGGCTGTTCGCCGATTAGCTCCTCCCACTACCACTTGCCAGAGCTGTATCATCATGTCCAACTTTCCGGAGCCCTTGTCCTCTTTTGGTTCACCGTCTTAATTACTGCATGCATAGGCTGCGCCCAACATGGATTCATTGCCTCTGAAAGTGAAAAGTGAATGTATGTATGTATGTATGTATGTATGTATGTATGTATGTGCATAGACATACTCGTAGGTGAAGGTGGCGATCAGTCATGCATCGAGGTGCCGCATGCGCCGACGCCATCGTCCATGCTGGTGGCAGGCACAAATCTACAGGTAGCATGTCCTGTTGTGTCACCACACCATGGAGATCGAAACCTCGGCTCGTAGAGTTCTGAGATTCTCAGAGTTGACATGGGCTGACACGAAGGCCCATCCCCATCGACTGCGACTTGGACTCTTACGGCCTGTCGTTGGAAGCCGTGCGGAGCGGGCTCGAAGCCAACAAGGCTCACTAAACACTAGGGCTCTGGCAGGGCGTGCCAGAGTTTTGAGGATTTCTTGACCTTGGGGGTCCGGCAATAGTTGTGCCAGTGGGGCACCTGGACGAGCATGCTGAAAGTCACCCAAATTTTTGAAAGGGTAGCGCCGACAAATGATGCTTTCGTCGAACTTAACATCCCTCTCACTTGTCGTGACTGCGCAGTCAACAACTTCCCATGATGCAGGTCCCTGGCTTTACCGCATGATCGAAGTAGCTTCCAAGAGCGCAGGGTGTTGTGGGCATTGTCATCGCTCCATGCTACGGCGTGCCGGCACGCGACTTTGGCGCCATCCAGGCCTGCAGCCTGCACTTGTCCGCCTGAGGTTTTGGAAGCTTGACAGTCACCTGACCAGGCCCTCTGCAAAGAGAAGGGGCTGTGGCTTTGTGAGGACTCCCACTCAGCATTGCTGCAGTCCACGTGTCTGATGCATTGGCGGCCTTCGTGAAGTGATGCAGGATGCCTGTGAGTCCTACGGGGCAAGCTGCAATGTGCCATGCTCTGCAGAAGTCGGGACTGCATGAGTAGAAGCTTCAACCGTGTCTGGGCCAAGGAAAGATTCCATCCTGTCGTTATCTGCTAGGGAAACCCGTTCAACAGGGAGATTTACAGATTGCAAGACTCTTGGTTTTGCAAGTCTTGGAGGTTTCCATGCTGCCCGTTAGGATGGAATGTCCCACTTACTGCTTTCATGGAACTCTGGCCGATTAATTGTCGACTTGGCCGAGGTACGTGGCTTCCGAGTCCCTGTCGGGTCAATGGCAACCCTGAGTGTGGTGTCTGTGTGGCATGCTCAGCACTTGACGCAGCAAGGGCGACTCTTGTGCCTTCTGCAAGAGTACCTCAGCTAACATGGGAGCACACGTCAGTTGGAGCATCAGGCGGTCGGAGAAGATGATCGGAGTTGGTGAGGCCGGGAGACGGGAGGCAAAACAAGCATATTGCACAACAAGCTGTATACAGTCCCAATGCGCATGCAAGTCGCCGTCCAGACGGGCTTTTTGCTATCTTGCCAGTTCAAGCTCAGCTGAGCAATTTGTTTCAAGCACCCAGCAAAGACAAAGATATGACTCCCATATGATGGAACCAAGAACAGTGGCACCTTCCCTGTCCCGGCATCCACAGATGTGATCAAGGTAGAATGGTATGTTTTTTCTACACCGCTCATCCCTCGCACCTCCCTGCGAGCCGAAGCCAGTTTCCTGCATGGATCAGATGTGCATGTGTGCACCCGCAGAGGCATCACCAACCTTTAGCCTTGTGTTTCTTCTCTCAGCATCCGTGGAGTCACATTGAAAGGATCTGCCCTTTGCTCTCCGCAGCAATGTTGGCTTCGTTCAGAGTCTTGCTGAAAGTCGCAATCGGCGCCAGTTTCGCTACTCAAAAGGCTTTGTAACCACGGGAAGGTTTTCACTCTAGGATGCCCCTACGAGAAAGTCAGGCAGCCCTGCAGAGCGACGGACGGCAACGAAACCATACGAAACCTTAGCATTGAAGTCAAACAGAAGGTTGACACTCGATATAGAATCGAAGTCTGTGGGCTGTACCATGCAACAAGACGCTGGAAAGCAAACGTTAGTGGAAGCCTCCTGGTGTTGCTAGGCTTCAGGCCGAAGGCCTTCTAGACGTGCACGGTACTAGCAGATCTCCGACATTGGCCGCGGAAGTCCACTTGCTTGCATCGCCAAGCAGTTGTTGGATATGATAAGCCAATAACTGGACAGAAGGGAATGGACTGGGCACAGAAAAGTTCTCCAACTGTTTCAGGAGCAATGTCCTGAGTCCTTAGCATGAACCGTTGAAAGAGAAGTCCCAAAACAACGTATTGAGCAGATCCTTTGCTGTCGGCTTCCTGTGCCAAATGGCCCAAGCCAGACACATGTAGGCTTCAATGAGGAATACTCCTAGAGTTGAAGGCGCACCTCGCAACCGCAGCACGAAAGCGCGCGCTGCGAAATCTTCCAACATGCTTAGGAGCGGCCCGTTGATACTGAGCTGCATTGTCGCAGCTGTTCAGCTTAGTTTGGGTTCGATGGCTTTAAGATTTTCTGTTGATCTCTAGAGCAACAGTTGGGAAGGTGCTTGAAGGACAAACACACCTTCCACACCATATCAGGGTGGAGCCATCCTGGGGAATGATGCAACATTGGTCGCGAGGGCCAAGTGGTGGTGCCACTTGTCTGTATTTGGGAATATTGCTTCTGAGGGTTCAGCTTGCACTGTTGCAGGGTATCGCTTCCAACACGCACATGCAGAGTTTTTTGTGTTGGTCCATTCCTGCTTTCTTGCTCGCGTGGGCGGCCGTTCAGGCTCCAGAGCTCCCTGCAGAGGCCTGGTTGAGACTCGCAGAGGCCGTGCCAGATCAACGCTTGCAATCGCTTGAGTGTGCTTCGAGGTGTGGGCTTATGGCGCGTGTACGAGCACGACGCAGTTGGGCAGAACTTCAGAATGCCGGAAATGCCGCAGCCCCAGTGCAAGTACGCACTCAAGACTGACGAACGACGGGCTTGGAAAGGCTGCTGTGGTTCGTTGCAGGATCATCAATCGTAGCTTCAAACGACCGACATCTCCGAAACGAAGGTAATAGCACTCTGACATGGAGTGTAGTCGTGTGCAGGCTGGCAGCATTGTGATTCACAGCTGGGATTTGCATTAGCCACCTTCGTGGGATGCCGTTGACACAGCCCTTGCCGTGCCTGCAGCCAAGTGGCTCAGCCATCTGCTGGGCTGCCCGAGCGGGCTGCCCGGACGGGCTGCCCGAACGAAGCCTGAGATCATCATTGCGTAAGGAATATCAGAGCATCATTGCATCTGATTGCACCTGAGTGAGTCACATGCTTCTCTCATGCCTTGTCTGGTTCGGACGGACAAGTGATGTCTCTGATGAAAAGCATTAGCGAAGTTAAAGTCACAGTCCGGTGCGCAACATGAGATCGATCATACTGGTTCTGTTTGCCGCGACTGCCGCAGCGGAGCTGCGCGGGAGGGCCAAGCGGCAAGGCTGGAGCGTTCTGGGTCATGCGTTTGACGAGTGAGAATTGTCGAGGCCGAGGCATTGTGACAGAGTGGAAATGCAAAGGAGTTCTTGAACGAGATTACCGGCTTGAGTTGCACGGTGTGAGCCGCACCTGTCTGTGAATTTGTGAGGCCGCTCAATTGGCTGTTCCTGTGACTGTGTCTTGGCTGACTTTTCGTGCTGTTGTCTAGTCTTCGCCTGACCCTGGCGCTTGCGGCATATCTAGCGAACCAAACGTAAACGCGAGCCGGGAGGCCAGGATGAGACGAGCAATGCAGACCGACGGAAACACACCAACAACAGAGGAGACGCGCTATCAAACAGAAAGCTGAGTCTGAGAGGAACGTCAAAATCAAGAGAGCTCAACTCAGACCTAGCTTTTTCATCAGAACCATACTGCAAGGGAGCCTGCACCCCACTTGCTGGAACACTGCTTCTGCTGGATCAGGATAGGAAGACAACAAGAAGCAATTTGAGTACTGTAGTACCCCGCGTGAAAACATGAAGCAAGCAATAGCAACAACCCTGCAATGACATTGGCAATAGTTATGACTAGTTATGGCACCACAGCACCTGTTGTAGTTGCAACAACAAGCGTAAGGATTACTTGTTGCCATTGTAAGAAGTTGTTCTTCTTGGGGTGTTTTGCCAATGAGTACCCAAAGAATGCTGTTGGTTGTCTGACCTGCGTGGCTCGTGCAGTGAAAGAGGCCGGCAAGGTTCTGCAAACCTTGTGATGATGCGGCTAGGCTGCAACGTGGCACAGCGCCGCCCAGATGAGCGCCAAGGTGTGGTAGGCAGGAAGCTCGACATGAGCTTCAGACAAGACATGGGTAGACGCTTGCTGCTGCAGGCGTGAAATGCGCGCCAGCGGAAGGGCACAGCCGTGAGGTTTGTGCTGAACAGTGCCAAACCACTCCGCGTGACGAGGCCATGGGCACACGTGGGATCAGTGCATGTAGGGCTCATTGCGTGGCGGCATGGCAAAGGATCAGCTGTTCATCTCTCTAAGGTGCTCGGCCTCGTTGCCCGTGATGAGGTTGTGGACTACGCCCGGTTCTGCTTCTATGCATCTCGATTCAGCAAGTCGAACAGCGTTGTCGGTTTTGAACCAGCCTGTTCAGTAAATGCAATTGCGCTTGCTCTGCGCCCAGGAATGCAAACCGCCCTCCGGTTTGACCAGTGCGATGAACTCACAATGTCTGGCATTAGCGTCAGATGAGACAAAGCAGGTGCTGCGGAGCCTTGCAGCTGTCCAATCCAAGCGACGTCGGCGATAGTGCTCCTGCAGGTCACTGACGCAGATGGAAATTCCTTGGATCCTGCGTTCTTGTACGAGCATCAGTCGGTTGTGGCCTTGGCAGAGGAGGGCGATGAGACTCCGGACGAGGCTGACTGGATGGTATCTGGAGGGCGGTACAAATTTGACAAGCGCAGTCTCCTGCTTCTGCACCAGAGGATGTGGAGACCGAAGAGTCCAAAGAGTCATCACAGAGCCCTGGCGGGTTACTGGGGTGGGCCTTCAGAAATGCATGAAGCTGTTCGCTGCCAAGGAAATTGCTGGCAAACACCACCGAGTCCGAGGCTGGGATGACATTGGCTTTCGTGGTATCCTAGAGCAGAAATTGCGGAATCACATCGGAGAGTGACTCAACTGCTGTCGCTATCTGCATTTGATGCCGAGCGCTCGTAGCCTTCATGGGGGTTCTTTACTGGCTGGGGTTGTGGGAGGGAGGGTGGTAGTACGTGGAAGAAGCATTGAGTAATCTGTTGCGTAACCACGCATTGAGAACGGGTGGGAGGGCCGAGGGCTGGACACGTGCCTGGCCAACAATGTCTCATGTAGTCTCCAGATGTGTTGTGTCTTTCGCTAGCAGTGCGTGGAAGGATGCGTTTAGGTTTGGGTAGGAGATGACAGATTCGTGAATCTTCTTGCTCCAGGATGCGGAGAACGGCGAAGACTCCGAGGAACTTCCAGACGCTTGGCTTGTTCCGTGTGGTTGGTGAAGCAGCAACGGCATGCCAGTGTCAGTGCCTTCTTCTAGTGCTAGCAGGGCTTGTCTGCCTAGTCTCGGAATGAAGCGCAAGGACCCAGAAAGTGATCCTCTTGTCGCGTCTCAGCTGCAACATCACGGCTTCAAGTTTGGCTAGTGTGCAGTCAGGAAAGGTGTCTGAAGCTGCGAGTCTAATGTGACATCGCAAAAGTCTTGTGGTCCTGCTCTTTTCTGTATGATGTACAGGATGCCCCGTCCAAAGTACATATGTGAGCCTCCATGTGCATGTCTGGCAAATAGCATGGGATGTTTGACGCGACGGTCGGAGAGCTGTGACAGGCGGCAAGCGGCGCACGAGATGCAGCCTGGCATGCAGAGGCAGGACAGACATTGTGTCTCGTGCCATACTTCCGGGGGCTCGAGGCACTTCAGGTCTATGGGAAGCTGAACAGGAAGCGCTTGGTCTGTGTGTAGCACGCCGAAAACCCTGTGACCCGAGTCTCCAAGCTAAGCAGCTGCTGCAGCATCCCCGGCATCCCTGCAGCGCGAGGGATCGGCAGCGAAGGCGGCACGCGCAGCTCGGAAGGCTTTGGAGGCTGGCTGTTGCTGAAATTTTGACTCAGCAATTTGAGCCGCCCTACCTGACGGCGAGTACAGAGAGGCACTGGAGACTGGTCGCAATCAAACTTGGCTCAATGCAATGACGGAGGCCGACAAGGCCACTTCCGTATCTAGCATTTGGAGGGAGAGTTGTTGGAGCAGAAGAGATGCTGTTGCATCGTAGCCTGGAGAGGCGTTGAATTTCATGAAGCAGAATGACATCAGGCCGAAAGTCTGGGGGGCCTGGTGTGACCAGAAACCTTGACAAGTCCTCCTTCGTTTGATCTGGCAGGCTGGCTACAGCCCATGTGAAAGGCCCAAAGCCGTGGCGAATTCAGGCCGCTGAGGTGGGCGGATTCGCAAGCCCCGGAGATCATCGGAGATCCACGTGACCATCCGAGCACGTTTGCTATGGCAGGCAGCTCGAGCAGCAGCGCAACCGTACTTGGAGGCCGCGATGGAACTGCAGTACGCTGGCCGTAGGATTGAGTAGTATTGCAGGTGCTGGAATGTAGAAGGGGGTTGTTTGTGAGAGCTGAGTGCGTGCTGAAAGGCTCACAACCACCTCGCCGAGACGCTGCCGAACCTGGACCGCCAGGCCTCCATGCAAGCATCCAAGGCGGCGAAGGCCGGTAGAGAGTGACATTATGCCGTCAGGCAGCTCAAGTTCTACCAGCCTCCTAGCATGCCTTGCTCGCAGGACCTTGAGGCAAAGGCACACGAGCTGAAAACGAAGGCGGTTTCATCGCCTGCAGGGTTCGAGTGCTAGTCTTGGGGCCGGAACGAACCTGATCCACAGCAATGGAACCAGGCGGCTGTGCTCCGCAGACGCGGGAAGGTGCAATGCAGGGCAGGGCAACCCTTCGGATCTCCATGTTGTCTCATCTCAGATTGTGCGTCCCAGGGGGTTTCAGAGAGGCGAAAGCAGTTGATGAAGGCACTTTCGCAACCCTTCACACTGTTGCCACTCGAGAGGGGCTGGGGATTCGGAGAAAGCCAAAAATCGGACGGTATGGTGTTGTTGGATTGTTTTTGAGATCCGCTATCGAAGCCGGGCTAGTTTAACTGACGGGAACCTGTGGGACAGCTCTTCGTTTGGCGGTCCCGGCTCTGTTTTTAATTTCGAAGAAACGCAATGTCTTGGAGTCTCACTTCGGGATTCCAGGTCGTTCCCAGATGTTCCCAGTCTCCTTGCAAGAGCATTCTTTAGATGCGTGACCTTCGTAACCTGCAAGTTATTTGGATAGCTACTTTCCCGTGGTTACGAGATTGTTCTCGAATGCAGCTCTCTCAGTGGAATGAGTCCAATCACGCAACTCCGCAGCAGGGTGGTATTCAGGAATCGTATGGCACTTAGTGCTGAAAACGTATGTGACAAATTTTGTGTTTGAAGCCACTGCGAGATGCAGCAATTGAGGTTCCTTTCTCTTCTGCCTTCCGACACGGGCCCGACCTGAGATTGACAAAACTCTAGAGCAGGCCCACTCTCTAATGCAGAGGCACCAGTGACAGCAGTGTCAAGACAAGTTAAGACCCCAACACATGACTGTTGTTGTTCTGTTGCTTCTTCTCTGTGTGGCCCATCCAGGATACCTCGGCCGAGTTAACAGAGCAGTTCGCATCGCAAACAGCGCAGCAGGCCGTCGAGAAGGACGAGGGGCTTCATCAAGATGTAGTACCGTCTGTTCGTTCCTGAAACAGGCGCACTTTTGCCCTGAAGTCTTTGTTGGAGCGTTCACAATCAGTGTATATATATATATATTATGTATATATATATATATGTATGTATGTATGTATGTATGTATGTATGTATGTATGTATGTATGTATGTAGGTACTGTAGGTAGGTAGGTAGGTATGTATGTATGTATGTATATGTATATGTATATGTATATGTATATGTATATGTATATGTATATGTATATGTATATGTATATGTATATGTATATGTATTAACTAGACATACATAAGACATATGTATATCCCATTCTTGTGACTGCTTTGCCTCCTTCGCCGCCAGTGTTGAAGCATTCGTGTTCTGAAGGAGCAAGCTGCAAAAGACTGGCTGGCGGCTGCTCACAGCAACGAGCAGAAATCGCGGGACGAACGTGCCACAGCTCAATGTCTGCTGGTGTAGGTGGCTTTGGGTGCGTTGGTGCATGGCGCAGTGGTCATTGATCACAGCTAGTACTGCACCTCCTTGCTCTCCTGTCAGGTTTCTTGGAGAATGCACAGGCCGCCCTACTCAGAGGGTCCAGGATCTTCGGCCTTCAGTGTCGCGATGTGCGTGGTGATAAGTCCGCGACAGTCTTGAGAAGCAGAGAGAGAGAGAGAGAGAGAGCTAGTGATAATTTCCCGCACAAGCGGCTCGCTGATCTCTTCGCAAAGGTCGCAGCACAACAAGCAGCCCAGCAGCTCAAGCTGCCGCAGCGCTACCAGCCGCACGGTTCAAATGGTTCTGATCACAGATTTGGCGCTTGATCTCGCCTGATCTGATTTCCAGATTTTTTTCACACAAGAGCTGTGGAGGTTTAGTTCACGCAACTAACTGAAGGCATCAGGCAGGCTGTCATAGGCAAGGTCAAGCTCTGTTCAGGAAAAAAGGACTGGAGTCCCGCTCCATGCAAGCTTCGGGAAACCGGGTATGGGTGTCACCTGAGCCAGAGCCCCGACTGCGCTTATCGAGAAGACTGTTTCATCATTCCACAAAAGAGGGATAGCGCCGTGCTAGCTTCTTTCTGGTAATAGGAAAGCGTCTTGTGAATTCGAGCTGCTTCATGGCCTTGAAATCTTTACTCTGGGAAAGGCACGAAGCGGCCCTGACTGCTTCGAGACTACCTGCAGGGGAATCTCATGAGTTCTCGCGGGGGCTTCGAGGGCTGACCGACCTGTGTCGACACTCGTCGCTGCTGAGACCAGACAGAGAACAGTTGCAAACCAGCACATGTCTTACATCGCTTTCGCGTAGGCTGGCTTTGCCCCTGGACCCCTTGCGGCATTGGGCGCCGACAGCATCGCCGCTTCATGAAAACAGTTGATGTTGTGCTCGTGTTACTAGGTCCGAGTTGAGCGTCATGAGCTGTGGTTTACAGGGCCAGCAGACATGCGATATGAGAGAAACTACAGTAGGGTATTCTGGAGGTGCATTGGTTTGAGCCGGTCAGTGATCGGCACTGCTTGAGGTATCCTCTGCCTGCACAGTGATGCAGACTGCCGTGGCCACGCTTCCATTGAGATGTCGTGGTGGTGAAAAAGATCATGTGTTGTGCTTTGAATGCAAACGTGGTCGCTCTTGCCATCTCTGGCCTAAGTCATCCTTCAAACAGAGGGCTTGCATGTGGCACACCCAAAAAGCTGCAATGGAGGCTGGCGGCTGTCGGTTGCGCAGCTGCAGAGATGCTCCCAGAACGGAGCCCAGATGTGCCATGCCAATTTTGCGAAAGGCTTCTTTGCAGCCCTGTCTCCGGGAATCGATATAAGGTTATGATGGAGCGAAAACGAGCAATCCACGGCTGGCGCCGGCCTTGAAAAAGAAGCCGGATGAATAGACATGGACAGTATGTTGCAGGTACGAAGACGGCATTGCAGCTCGTCCTGCCTTGAAGGGCACCTCGGCAACACGGTGTGCTTTTTATGACTTCCGCATGGTCCTCATGAAATGGTGTTGCAACTCTTGTGTCTTGACATCATCCTTCAGGATTCTAGAAGCATGTCGTACACGCCCCTCCAACAACTTTCACCCAGCATCCACATTGACATGCCTTGGCAAATGCCTTACCTTAGCCTGGAATCGTTGTTAACATGTTTGCAAGTTTGGCCAAGATGCCAACAGTGCAAACTGCAAGGGGCTCTCCCTCCGCTGCATCATGCGCAGACTGGCTGAAGATTTCTAGCTTGAGGTGTGAGACTGCAGCAGGCCTCCGAAGGCCAGCACAGTCCAGAGCTGTTGCGCATGCACATGCATGCACATGGACATTCGATGAAGGCGATGATAGCGTTTGGTGGATAAATGCTGCTCTGCTTCCAGACGGCTTGTGCGGCGAAGATGTAGCTTGGCTGAGGGCTGGCAAGTTGAATCGCAGGATCAGAGCCCGGCACAGCTGAAATTCAGGTCGGCATGCAGCTGATGAAGAGCTTTCCTGACATCGAGATCAGGCCAATGCGCGCGGTCGTACAATTGGATGACCACCACACGTTGCAAAACATGCCGAGTCCCTTCTGTGCTGCACCCCAGTGGGTGGCTTGAGAGGCCTGGCTTCTACCCGCTGAACAGCATGGCCATCTTCCAGTCTGAGTGGTCCGCGCCCCCCCCNNCCCCCCCCCCCCCCCCCCCGAGATTTTCCCTGAAGCACACTGCAGTTCACAAACTGTAAGCCCCGCCGCGCGGCACAGATCCTTCAAATCGCAGTACGCCACCACGGGTCTCCCACTCCTGGCCAAGTCTTCCAGCTTGTCAGCTGGCTGAAGTTCTTGAAACTGCCAGCCGGCAGGTCGCGACCCTGCAGCAAGCTCAGCAGTGCTAGCCGTGCTTTCTTCAGATGGGTTTCTGATGCATAGGTAGTTCACTGTTATCTTTCGCAGGCCTTGCGATGCTACGGCATAAGGTCGTGTGCTGGATCATCCTTTCCAGATGGCATTCCGTTGGCATCTGTGCCCCAAACTGCATATGGTTATGGTTCCTGTCGAGGCCCGAATGCGGAGCTGCTCTACAAGAGACTGGTTTGCCGTGCTCTTAGCTCTCCGTTGTTGCCTCCTGGTCGATTGTCGGCACTTCCTTGAAGCTCGAAAGCCGACATATCCCTTGTAGAAACTGGCCAAGTAGCTTCCTGATGCGACGTGGCAAAGCGAGTTGACTTGCCGACGGCAGGCCTTCCCTCCTCGAACCAGCTTCAGAAAGACGATGTGGAGCGAGTTTGCGATGCGCATGGGCCCCATCATCAAGCCCAGTAGAAGTCATAGAGCTCCCTCAGCCTGAGGCTGGTCGAAGCCATCCGCGCAGTCTCCACGCCTACGCAGTGATGGAGTGTTCAAGTCCGTGCAGTGTGCGGCATTGATGCAAAGTGGCCTTAAGCTGCTAGATGACACGAAGATAGCGTGGCCCACCATCATCTGCGGACTTGTACAAAAGGACTTACTGTCATTAAAGCCGTGAATGAGGGGTCCTGCGCAGGGACCACGGTTAAAGCTGTTCATGCATCGGTTGATCCCTGCGGAGCGGCTTTTGATTCCGTGGCTTTAGCTGTGATCCATGGACCAACCCATCCGATCCCATCCAGAGGCCAGATAGGGGGTCTGGATCTGACCAGCTGAAGCAGCTGGAACCGCGCTTCCTCTATGGGTGACATACTTTTTGTTGGGTTCTTCTACGGAACGATCTCAGGAACCAGGTAGAGTTGGAAGTGAACAGCCTATGACTTATGAACGAGACGAAGAAAGCAGAGCTCCCGATCCAGTCATTTTGTCCAGAAGCACTTGCATGGCTGCCTCGTTCTGGTTGCGGACATATCTGTGGCCCCGAAGAAGGTGGGTTGCAGGCAAACCCAACTTCAAGCAAGTTGCTCATAACCAACAGTTTCTTACACCAAGTGAACTAATTATTACACTTTGATGAGAATGTTCGAGTCGCTCATGCAATTTGTGTGCTGTGTCCCAACCATTGGGAGCAGTTTGACAAAGGATTGGGCCTGTAGCCTGTGCAGACTATCCGCCGATCGTGACTCATGATGCGGTTCTCGTGCTTGCTCTACAGTTGAGTATCTTCCGGAGGAAAGTGCCCAGGCCTCAGCGTATCACCCTGTTACAGCCAGGTATTCCCAAGTTTGAATGTTTCTCTGCTTGAGTGTACAGCTCCGACAACGTGAATCCTTCAGGAAACCCATAGGCCACGCAATCAGTTTGATTTCTTGGAAGGCTTCTGATCTCTTAGGCCGAAGAGTGCAGTGTTGAGCCTAGTCAAGGTTGGGTGCAGGCGTTGCGTTACAGAGAGATACAGAGAGTAGCATGGAAGAGGCCTGCCCCTAACTTTGGGCTCCACTGCCGACCTGACTGCCGATAGAGATCGCAGTTTCAAGACGGGCATGCGCCTGGCTTGTGGAAAGGTTTGCCTTAATTGCAAGCTCCGCTTATGGTAACCTTGGCCAGGTTGTGGGATTGTAGTCCATGGCGCAGCTTGCTGCAAAACACTTCGCTCCATGTTTCGATCAAGTTGACAGTATTTCATCTGCCATGCAAGCACGGGCCGTCCGGCGCACATTGCAAGCCAAGAAATGAATTGAACCCGTCGATTCTGGGAAATGTAAGGGATCCTTGCTTCCGCCAAGGGTTTTGGCTTTACCATCCAGTGAAGCTTCAATGTGGACTTCGAGGTGCGTGTGACTTGACGGACTAGAATCTCCGCCAGTGCCGCCGCTCCTCCGCCTGCCCCTGCGCCGCCTGCCGGCCATGCGTCTCTGCCGACCATGGGGCCGACAAGGCAAGGTCGGCCGGGCTACCAATATCCGTTTCTTTGGCAGACGACCCACAAAGAGAGTGCAAAAACCGCGGGCCGACAGGAGAGAGCGCTCCGCTCACGATCAAACCCACCCACACCGGCATTGGAAGAAGTCTATAGCCACAATCGAAAAGGACCGTCGGCACCAGACGGGGCCTGGCCCTTGGCAGAGACCACTTCGGAGAATCGCAGCCACTTCCGAGTCCGTGCGGAATTCACACAAAAGAAATGAATGGAACCAAGGTTGCGGCATTACTCTCCTCCGGAGTTGATGACCACACATCCCTGTCGGCCCAGGCGACTGCAGAGCCGTAAAACCGTCCATTTCCAAGGTAGCGGAGTGCCCGAGCATTCCGCCCTGGCGGTAAACCATGCCAGCTGACATGCCGATTGTCGAAGCGCAAGTTGGGTACTCGATGCAAAGCAGGTCAATGCAGTGGGAATTCGAGAAGACCGTTTTTCATACTCACTTAATGGAGTTGGGCTGTACAGTCAGTGAAGACTGTTGTTGGGTGACATAGATGTGACTTTGCAGCTTTCTTGCCGAGCAGGACCCTGGCAGCAAATCTGGTGTCGTCCTTAGTTGAAAGTGTTGATGCTCAGCAGTTCTCGATGAAAGACGTCGCCCGCTTACACCTATGACGGGCCGCATCTTACGTGATCTTGAGTAGAGACCTCAAGATCGTGAAGCCTTGATCACTTTCTCCACTGCTAGAAGACACTCACCGAGCTTCCAACCTCGCATCCCGACGAAATCACGGCTGCTTTCACTCGCCACGGCGGGCCTCGTGTCATGTGCGCCACGTGACCGTGCAGATGGGCGGCCTCTGGGAGGCGCCGAAAGCTGGGGAGCCCCGAATTCCTCCGCCTCTCCTCGCAGTCTGTTTTTTGCGCTTGCGCTTGGAGGTGGTGGGTGGCCTTGACAAAGGTGGCGTTCTGGTTCGGACCGAGGAGCCAGCAATCCTTCATGGAATCAGCAAGTTGCACAGAGTGCCAGAGCAGCTTTGCAGCATCATGTTGCATCTCTGTCCAGTCAGCCCTGCACAGGAGAACAGTACCAGCGTCAGGGTAGGGCGCCTCTCAACAGGCTGGTCGGGGGGTAGCCTGCTGTCGCAGGGAGGCTCCAAAAGAGTTTAAGTTCCAGTTCGCAGCTGCCGCCTCCATCAAAGACCTGCGAAATGGGGTTTTGGCAGCTGAGACCTGGTTTCAGTGATGGTCCACTGAGCTTCGTCCTTGAAGCTTGCTTGCTTTCAGGCGCCTTGCTGGAGGAGCTTTCCCAGCTTGGCGGAGAGCTCCGCAACTGTGCTTTAAAGTGTGTATGGTAATCAGACAGGTGTGATAGGATAGCTGTCTTAATGCTGAAGTGACAGTCGTTCTTGGTTCACTGAGCTTCTTTTGACATTGGTCTTCGAGTCTGCAGATTCCGGATAGATGACCTTGAAAAGCTGGCATGGGACTTTCCGCAAGAACAGTTCCTTTGGCTTGCACGCTTGGCTCCGGGCTGCATGTCCACCACCACAGTCCGAGGCTTCCGTCGCTTGGCGGGCCAGGGCCCTGCAGAGGGATGGGTCCCCCTGAAGCGGCACAACGAGGCCCTGACAACCCGAAGCCAATCGGAGTTTTCCGGACCGCCTCCCCGATTCGCCTCTGCTCACATGGCTTTGCCAGACTCGCTTCAGATTCTCTTATCCCAGGCACAGAGAGGCCTAGATGCCAAAACCCTAAGAAATACTAAGCGCACCACCGTGAGACACCCTAACCCTCACCCTCCTAGATCATTGAAAACCATTAAAAACACGAAGACAAGAATTGCCTAAACCCTACAGCCAACAAAGAACCAAGAAATCGAAAGCGCTGCCTCTCATGGGTCCGGCTTGCAGGTGCTCTTGAAGCAGCCCTCCGACGTTTGGCAGGTTCTTGGAGGTGGGCGTTCACTTCAGGTTTTGGACTCTTGCGGCTTTAGGGTCTGGCATGGTTGTGGGTTTTTAGGGTTTAGGGTCTGCTCAGTGACTTTCGTGCGAGTTGATGACATTGACATGAGGTTTTGAACTTATCACTGGCACGACTAGACCCAGGCCAGAGCAAGGGCGGCGTGCTGGTGCGAGAGGGCTTTGAGCCTTTCCCTCAGCTCCGGAGCTATTCTCTGCTAGAGCCTCGAGCTGTGAATATTCAAAAATACATAAATAAGGTATCCACAGTGGACCCAGTCTCGGTGAACCATCGAGGAAACCAGGTCCAACCTGAATTTTTGTGTATGTTTGCCGGACGAAATTGGCTTGAAGTCAGAATAACTCAAACGCTGGCCAACATCTCTTGGCTGGTTTGGTAATTGCATAAGTGCAGGCCATAGAGCTTGGGGTGCCCTTGCAAGAACTGAGGACCAGCTCGCCCTGTCTTTCCGATTCTTGGCCTTGTTCAGATCTCCGGACATCTGATGCTTCATGGGTTCAGAGCTCTGAAGCCCTGCTTCAAGGAGCGCCTTGCAACAGGCTCCCTGGTCAGGCAGCTTGAGCAGAAGGACCGCATCAGTGTAGAGATTCAAGCGACATTCTGAAGCAAGAACCTTGTGTCAATGGCGAGCGGGGGTGTCAGGACGACCGTCTGTACTTCACTCGGCTGACTGGCTCGGGGCCAGAACGTGGCTGGGTCAGCATCCGCGCCTTGGAAGCGAACGTCAGCTTTGCAGAGCCCACTCATGTAGCCTATCTGGGTTGTGGAGGTTCTGCCGAAATCGACAAGTAGCGTGTCAAGAAGCTCGCGGTCCTCTCAACTTCATTAATCCGTGCCCCCACCGCCCCTCCTAGAATTAGCAGACCTCGAACATCATGGCCTGCTTAATCTGGGGTGGAGGGCCGGAGAGCCAGCAGCCCGCAGGCGGCAGCCAGCAGTCGCGGACGCATAAACAGAATTGGTACTGGCTTCGTAGTAGTAGCAGTAGTACTAGTACTAGTACTAGTACTAGTAGTAGTAGTAGTAGTAGTAGTAGTAGTAGTAGTCGTAGTACTTGTTTTAGCAGCAGCAGGGGTGGTGTAGTGGTGGTGGTGGTGGTGGTTGTGGTAGTACTAGTAGTAGTGGTGGTAGCAGGTAGTGGTAATGGTGGTGGTGGTGGTAGTAGTAGTAGCACTTCGATAATTGTGGAGGGGTTTACAAATCCAGAGGAAGCTGCCCCGGAGACCAGCCGTGCAGGATAACTCAGGATGGAATGATTTTGGGCTTCCTGGAAGAAACGGATTGATAAGGAATCGATGCTTGCAGGGCCGGGCCTCGATCTGAGTTTTCTTGCCAGGTTCGAAGACTGCAGCTCCAACCCCAAAGCCAACGACTTCAAGCCCGAACCAGGGCCCCGAAAACAGTTTTTTTATAATTGTGGAGGGATTTATCAATAGTAATTTGTAAGCCTCTAAGAATGCTGTAGTTGCAGTAAATATTAAGTTCGAAGCCTTTAAAAAGGCCGTGGTTGCAGTAAATAGCCAGTCTAAAGCTTTTAAAGGGTCGCCCTGCTCCCGGACCAGTCCACATTGGCTGAATTAGCAAAGGCGGCTAGTGTGGCGGCTGCAGAGACGCTGGCCGCTTGTACCCCAAGGCCCGCCGGAGATAAAGCAGGCAGTGACCCATCGACACCAACATCGTCGAGCACCTTTTCGAATTCCTCAGAAGCCGGAGCTAGGGCCAGGGGCCCAGAAGAGCCCCAGCAACAAACACAGCAGAGAGTGGAACAGCCCGAACAACAAACACAGCAGAGAGAGGAACAGCCCCAGCAACAGACACAGCAGTAGGAGGAACAGCCCCAGCAACAGACACAGCAGGAGGAGCAGCCGCAGCAACAGACACAGCAGGAGGAGCAGCCACAGCAACAGACACAGCAGAAGGAACAGCCACAGCAACAGACCTAGCAAGAGGAACAGAGCCAATGTCCATAGATGGGGGGGGGGGTCACACCTGACACCATGGACACAGGAATCGTGGAGGATAGGCCGAAAAGGCCGCGTTTGCTCTTGGATCGGTGTGCTCCTTCAACGCCAAATCGCTCAAGTCAGACTCTGTACCTCCCAGGCTTTGCTGGTGTCAACATGCTCCACAGCGACATGGAAATGGATGAGCTGCCCAATGCCGAGCTCTGGGTTGAGGAGGTGGGCCCTATGCTGGAGGAGGAATGCAACGCTTTTGAGGAGGAGCCCGCAGCAGCAGATGAGGAGGACCGGCCGCCCACGGTGACCCCAAATGAGCCTTGACATGGCAGCCAACAAGAAGGAAGTGGAGAGGCTGTTGGCAATGGGCGTCATGCGCACCCAAGCCGGGCGAAAACCTTGATGACTATGACTATGGCTTCCTTACCACATTTACCACAAAGGTGGTCCGAGACTGGAGGAAGAGGCCGACATGGATCCGCCGAAGCCGGCTTGTCGCTCGTGAATTTCGCACCTCATAGCCTTGGCAAGCCGCGCTCTTTGCACCGAGTTCGAACCTCGCAGTGATACACGCGCTAATGGTCACGGCCCTTGCAGAGGACCTCGAGGCGGTGACCATCGACGTCAAGGACGCGTAGCTCAATGTAAAGCAGAAGGCCCCCGGTGGTGATTGAGGTCGATGAGCGGCTGGTTGGCGGGACCACGTGGAGGACGGTGCCGTATCTCTTGGGGTTTCTCCTCCCAGCCCAGAGGGCAGCAGGAAGCGAGTGGTTTGACTTCATGTGGCCTGCTTGGCGAGGCGGGGCTCGAAGGATTCCCTAAGGAGCCCACGCTGCTCCGAGGGGGAGCCAAGGACCGCATGAAGATGGATCTGCACGCCGACGATGGCATCCTCGCCTCTACCAACGCCGCTCGCGAGAAGATCATTGCACAGCTTGAGGAGAGAGTGGTCGTGCAAGTGAGTGAGCCCTTCTCCCTGGAGCAGGGCATCGAGCTCTTGAAGCGCGGGTATGTCCTCGACCACGGGATCATAATGTACCCCTCGGCAAAGTACCTGGACTCCCTCCTCACCGTCCTTGGCAATGTGAAGGAAAGAGAAGGTGTAATATACAATTGGCCGTTCGCTGCTTGGCTGGCTACATGGCCCAACCCACGGTGCAGGCGATGAAGAACTTGAAGAGGGTTGTTGGACACTTGCGGCGCATCTCGACTTTGGGCTTTAGGTTTGACAGCCGATGCGTGCTTCGACTTCGAGGGCAACGGCAAGGCAATGGCCGGTGACCGAATTTGTCTTGAAAGCGATGCAGACGCAGACTGGGCCGGAAGCAAGAAGGATCGGAGGAGCCGATCGTCAGTGCAAATCTGCCTCTCCGGGTCGTTGCTCTCGAACTATGTCAGGACCCAGAAGAACATATCGCTATCCTCCGGGAAGAGCGAACTCGTCGCGATGTTGAGAGCGGCCGGAGAAACCCTTTACCTCAGCGACTGCGTCCACTTCATGTCCTGGAGCAAGTTCGAGGTGGACACCGTGCTGAGAACAGGCTCAGCCGCAGCCTGCGAAATAAGCCAGCCAGCGACAAGGAGCGGGACGAGTTCGCCACCTAGCCTGTGGACTCCTTTGAATCCAGTCCGGGATCAAGGACAAAGCCTGCCGTTCTGCCCCAATCGGTGGCGCCAAGAGCCCCAGCGATCTGGGAACAAAGCCCCTGACCACAGCGAAGATCAACGAGCTTTTGTGCAGAGTAGGTGCAGTAACCCAGGACGGGAACCCCTATGCGAAGAATGAGCTCGCGGAGGCCAGCTACAAGGCTTCGGTGAGAATGGTGGCAAAGAGCGGAAGTCTCAAAGGACCCGGCATAAAGCGCCTCACGCTGATGATGCAGCTTTCCAGTGTTGAGGGCCCTGGGCTTGAGGGTTTGAGCGTGGCTATGGCGACCGCCATGGCCGAAGACACAGTGATCGAGGCCGTGGGCATGATCGCCTCAATTCTGACAGTGCTCATGATCACCATGGGCATCCATGCGGGCATTTGGCATTTGGTCAAGATGTTCCGGCAGTGGGCTTTTACGAGCGAAAAACCGAAGCTGTGTGGAGGCCGGTATCCAGACAGATGAGCGCTGGAGACAAGAAGACCGAGCATGGGCCGACGTACACAAGGCGAAGCCGCGACTTGGAGGTCGCCTTGAGTGAGCGAGGCAGGGAACAACAGCAATGTGAAAGGGCACTGGTACAAGTGAGGGCCGATCTCCGTGCCAGCGAGGCCGAAGTTGTGCGGCTTAGGGCCAACGCGGCCCAATCGGAGCCGATTTCTATCGCGATGTCAAGAGGGCATGTGTGCCAGAGGCCGAACTGTGGTGCTCTCAAATCCAGCACTAGTGGGAGAACTTTTCAGCCGTGTAATATCTGCCATAAGGGTGGCGATGTGTGATCTGTGGCAGCGCAAACCCGGAGAAGCGGGATCGCGCCGAGGCGGGGTGTTGCAGAGGCATGCACTCCCGCATATGTAAGCATTGCTTCGCTCAACATGTGACTTTGCAGCCCTCAGGAGTCAGTTCTAAGCTTTTGATTGCAGTAAAGTAGTAGGTTTTGGGCTTCTAATTCACGTCGCCGAGTCCAAAAAAAATTGAAAAGTTAAGGGACGAAATTTTCCCTTCAGATATAGGGAGTTTTCTCTGAGCCAGCTAGATCCAGGATCTCCGAAAAAAAAAACTTGCAAATCTAGGGTAATTATTCATCAAGAGCACGGATTAGCAAGCTTTGCAAGGTCTGCGCCATGGAGCAGAACTCCTTGCGCCTGTGGACGGGGTGGAGATGCAGGTGGTGGACCTGTGTTAAGGGTTTCTTTGATGAGTCCTGCGTCGATCGTCAGTGATCTTTCCGTCCTTGATGTCTGAAGAGTGCGTGACTTCGGTTGCATGAGTCTGTTTGGCCGTCTTTGTGAGGCTTTGTCCGGATCAGTTTACGATGGAATGGAGCTGGTGGTACTCCTGGAAAACCAGGATGGGCAGGGCCTTCTGCAGTGCCGGAGCTGTGTGGACAATTCACGGAAATGCCTGGGATCCAAGAGTTGGTAACCCTGCCAAAGCTCCTGATGGATAGGGGGAAGACACCTCGCAAGTATTTCGTATTGCGAGGTGAATCGGATTCCAGCATGGCCGGAGAGTACTAAAACAAGCACGCGACAGTCCAGACTGCAGATTATGCGACTTCGAAATGTAGTGGAAGAATCGAGAGACAAAGCATCATGAAGCAGTAGTCCCACGTGCCCAACGACCGCTTGCTCCAACGACCAGGCGGAAGTCGAACAAGTCGAAAAACAGCCAGTTTTCTCGGGTCGTTGATCATTGCCATAAAAGCATGAAGTCTTGACCGGGAGGAGAAGCAGTTCTCTTACCAGGGTCCTCTGGCAGCAGTAGAGCTTCAGGCTTTCCTTGCTTCCGACAGTCGCACCTGCAGAGCGGACTCATGTTGGCAAGGCTTTCCTTCATGGGTTCGCTGGGCTGCAGCTGTGGCGAGGTTCACTTTGCACCTGGCTGCGTTTTACAAACGCTCCTCAAGAAGCTGATTGCTGCTGGATCGTAGGCTGCTCCGTGAGGGCAAGCCATACCTTCCAACGAGGCCCTCGCTTGCAGTCGCTAGCCACGCACGCTCGAGACCTGCAATGTGCCAGGCTGCCCAGGCCCCCGCGCATCGACCGGCCAAGGCACGCCTGCCAGCGTCGCGGCGCCATGCGCAGCCGTTGCAGGATTCCGAAAGAAGTTTTGACAGAGAGCAAGAGCGGGTCCACGCTTCGCAGGCCTCTAGCGCCTTACCAACAGCTGAGCCACACGCAGCTGGCAGAGAAGTCCAAGCAACATTTGCCAGGCCCAGAGTTGTTGGAGGTACGTTTAGGTCCGTTTAGGTTTCTGCATCAGTCAGAGTCTGAGGGCTTTAGAGCTTTGGCAGTTTACCCCCTCGGGGTCCTGTTCTTCGTCTTGTCTCATCTGAGATGTTTGATTCCCTTCAGCCTCTCACACCCCCGCAAGCTTCCGCCCCGTCATATTTGAGGCATGCGAAACCAGCACGAAGCTGCAATAACCCTCAGGGTCCTCAGTCTGCAAATGCATCCGTCGAGCTCACTTCAGCTTTACCTCGCCTTCGTGAGGGTCACGGGAATGCACAAAAACCCAAGCATCAATGCATCAACCCAAACACATCACCCCCCAATGTTTGCACAGAACAGACATGCGCTGCTCCAGCATGCTCCAGCGGCGCGTTCTTACAGGGCTTCTCATGGCTGCGGTTTCTGGTGTCTTGCGCTGGCAAGGATGCCTTTTCGGCCTGACTTTCCCGCTGTGGCAGCCTCGAGACCTGTGGCAGTGACGGGGAGGGCTCAGACAGAATGTAAGGCAGATGGGACGACGGGGGGGCTGAGGTCTGCTGAAGAGATGGCCTCGGAGGAGTTTGGTCCAACCTGGCTTACGGAGGCCTTCCACGCAGCCTGGGCCCTAGCTTGACCAGAGCCGTCATGCGGAGTAAAGGTTGCTAATGCTCGGAAAAAACACACGCACAGATGTGCAGTGATGTGGAGTATCCGCGGGCACCAGAGTCTTCTTGAATCCTTTCATGACTTTACATCTGAGGCCGGAACGCTGCCGGCAGACAACAGAGTCACGAAGGTCCTCAGGACCTGGATGGGTTTTCCCATGGGCGCACAGCTCGAGACTGCAAGACCATGTCTGCTCAGGGCCGAGGACTTGGCTGTGAAGGGCTTTGATGCCGCGGGTGGGGCCGCCATGAAGATGTTTCTCACAGCTGCAGGGCTGCATTTTGGGAGGGAAATCCGGCAGAGTGTGACCGTGTTGTGGCGTGTCTACGAGGTGGAGTACGAGAAGCCAGATCCAGACTTGCACACAGAGCTCTTCTGCAAGTACCCGTGACCTGGCCATTCTTCTCTGGGCATCGTGAAGGCAACCCACAGCCCCTGCGCTCAGGTATCCCTTCGACCAGTTTCCGGTAGAGCGCCGGCAGATCTCATCCTATGGTGACGTCGATGGTCCGGAGATCGCAGTGCAGATGCACCGCGGCTTAGCACCTCGTCGTGAGAGAATCTCAAGATATGAACCTGAGTCCAGGTTGCTCACGCACCTGTTCCCCTTCCGCACAGCCAAATTCTATTTCGGGGACGTTTGCCGGGAGACAACGAACTTTATCTTGATTTCCGCTCCCTGGACCGCACAGTTTCAGAGAAGCAGCGGTCCTCGCTTTTCTCTATCACACAGGAGAAGATCGAGTTCTCACGGCGTGGACGCATCGAACAAGGCAGAATCTGCCTGCATGTTCCTGCTTGCGAATCTGCCCGAAATAGTTCTGGGTCACGGGAAATATGATGTTGCTTCTGGAGCTGAATGCCGATTGCTCGGAATGTGTGGTGACCCTGTGAGGCAGAGTGGTAGAACAGATCGACTATGAGCCGTACCAGGTCCCTTACCATTTCTAGCATCTAACTCAGCAGCTGGGTCTGCCTTCACCCCTTGATCTTTTTGCATGGGTTAGGCGGGCCGCCGGCGAGGTCATTAGGCGCAGTGCAAGTTGTATGAGCAGGTGCTGCCGGTTTGTGGGAAGTTCCAGGACATTGCTCTCAAGCATGTGGCAGAGCCCACCGAAACTGTGGACTAGTGCGTAAGACTTGAAGCGAGGACTGGTTGCTGCCAGATCCAGCTGAGTGGCTTGCCAGCGTTACAAACGATGCAAGCACAGTCAAGGCCAAGCTCAGTCGGATGTTCTCGAGAGTAGCTTCACAAAATGAGGCATATGTTTTGCAGGAACGGTTGCGGGTTGTTGGTCCTGGCTGGACCGGCATTCCTCAAGGCCACGAGCAAATTGTCATCACAAGCCCACTAGCAATCTGTCAGCGCGGGCATAGTCGAACACAGACTGTTCTTGCTTTCCTTCGACCCAGTCCATGTGGCCTCATCTTTAGATTCTGCCGCAAAGACCGGGTCTCAAGGATTGTTCGATTCTGCCGCTGTCTGTTGGTGACCCAGCCGAGGTACTATTGCTGCCTGTTTAGAGCCATGGGCCAGCTCGCCGCCTGGGACAAGCAAGGTCGGGATCTCTCGGGCTTCGGCTTAGTGACTTAGTGTTGCGGCTGTGCACGGCACTGGTGAAGATCGCACGTGTCGTCAGAGACACACATGTCAACCACCCCCTTAGACACATTCCGAACATCTTTCAACTGTTCAGACATCTTGACAGTGCTGCCTTCAAGACTGTTGTGCCAAGAGGTCGAATTTCACAGCCACAGGCTCCGTTGACGTGAAACATTGGCTTCAGGTCGCTACAACGACTATTTCGGCCCACTAGACTCGGCTCAACTGCAACGCCTGGCCGCTCAGAGCGCCCCACCGGCACTACTGTTTATCCTTCAAGTAGACTTCTTTTAGGTTTGTTGGGGCCGGCTGCTGTCCATGTGCAGCCGGCGATGTTGTGTTTCGTCTTTTCCAAAGGAGGTGTTTAGTTCACGGACATCTGAGGACGGGAGATCAAAGCCCAGCAAGTTGAAAGCCAAAGAGCTTCGGTCCCCTGGCACGAGTTGTGGAACCCTTTTTAGATCCGAGTGCTGGGCTCCAGGTGGGCCTTGCACGCTGTTCTCGTTGGTCGGACGTCCCCGCCAGGTTGCGCGGATTCTTGACACCGCAATAGACTTTATGACCAACGTTATTCCCAGCATGGTGCCCGGCTTCTTGCTTGAAGGCCGGCAATACTTTGCGAGTGTTGCGACTGCAGCGGGTTCTGTCTGCGTGCCATGGCGATTCTCGACTGGAGGTGGACGGCTTGGCAAGGTCAAGGAAGACCTGCTGGAGATGCTACCGCACTTTCCTGGCATGCTGCTTGTCACTCCACAGTTCAGTTCGCTTCCTGCAAGGCCCAAACTTCCAACTCTGCCATTTGGTTCTTGCCCCTGTAGGGCTCAAAGCAGTGTTTCATTTGGTGTTTTGTCGTTGCAATGCGGTGGCACGGGGGGAGCTCAGGTCGGGACAGTACCAGTTCACAGGTACGAAGCTGAGATAAGCAGCTGATCAGAAACATGTGGCACAAGACGAGTACTGGTCAGCAGCGAGCTGCTCAGATCCCAACTATGTGGCGGCAATGCACGCGAATTTGCAGGTAGGGCGTGCGACACATGTGGACGCGGAGGGAGTGCTAATGCCATGGAAGGCAGACAATGCTTTCTTCTGGCGCGACGAGTATGACACATTGGCATGTGCCTTTGCAGCGGCTACTGCTTAGTGCTTTATTCTCGCACGAGTTGTCGAACAGAGCGGCACAAGTTCACTGTCAAATGCTTCAGAATGCCTAGGTGGTGTCCTGGACTGGGGCGGCTTCAGCCGAATGGCATTCTGCATGAATTTCCTGGGATGTTTGTCGGGAGCAGATCCTGAGGCACGTCTCAGGGCTTTGGAACTCGTCTGATGAACTTGTCTGTTATGTTGAGCTGCGGGTTCCGTTCAGGTGCTCTTGGCGCATGAGGAGGGAATCATTCGCTGCTTTCGGGACGAGCGGCTGGAACAAGACAGCTGAGTTTCTGTTGCGATATTGCTCAGAGAGGTGACCGCAAAAAGTTTCCGAGGTATGCACGCTGCGGCGGTCCACACCTGCCCCTGGAGGAGCTACTTCTGAGCCATTTTGATGAACGATTTTCTAGAAGTCAACATGTTTCCGATCTGTTCAAAACCATCAAGCGCAACCACAGACGCGCAGCAGTGGCATGTTATGCAGCAGCAGTCTGAAAGATGTACGTACGTTACGTTCGGTGAGCCTTTGTTCAACGGCTGCTGACCTGTTGAATAAGTTTGCTGGAGTTGTGATCTTGTGTGCATGCCGGCTGAGCATACTAAGGGTACCACCTTGGCTATATCACTTTCGTGTACGAGAGCACGACATGGGTGGAGCGCGAGATTTACAAGCATCTTGGAGCAACATGAGAACAAGGATGAAGTGGTGATCACAAGTTCAGTGTGTGTAGCACATGCAGACAGCCTTCGGCAGATGGACAGAACGTCAGACAGGTCGATCCTGCCAAAGCTGGCTGACACACTGACAGACAGCAGGCAGACGGACAGAGCGAGAAAGAGAGAGAAAGAGAGAGAGAGAGACAGAGAGACAGAGTGCGCACGAGCGCGTGGGCAGGGGTCACTCCCCTGTCCCTAGCCCTCCAGGCGTAACGGTTCATAGATCAAAAGATAGACGGCTAGGTGGGTGGGTAGATAGACGGATAATCGGTAAAGATATAGATACAGACATCAAACACTGCAAAATCTGGAGCGTCGCAAGAAAACCTGGCTGACGATGGGACGCGACTCCCCTCAACCCACATACAGGCAAGGGTAGTTCGTTCTCTCTCGCTCTCTCACGTTCACACACACACACTCACACGTTCACCCACTCATGAGGCACAGAAAGACAGAGATAGGCAGAGACAGAGATCGCCCAGGCTAGCGACCAAGGAAGAGATGCAGTCGTGGCATGGGATCCTTGATGATCGTTTTCAAGAGCGATTTCGGGTCAGGCCATGTCGGTCGAAACCATTGGTAACCATCCAAGTCAACAACCGATATGTCTGAGTGAGAAACGCCGTGCAGGTGCCGATCCTCTGCCATCATCAATTCTTTCGCATTCTACAGCCTGAAAGGCCGCGGCAAAATGTGTCCACCAAGAGACCATCAAGGCACGTCCTGCACGCCCGAGGCGATCACTTTCGCAAGCTCTTCAAGGAGTGGTCGACAGGAAAGGGCGCACCTTTTCTGACCAAGATACAGTGACGGGACATCCGTGGCATTTCGTGCCAGCATTGATCTGCCTCATTTGAAGCCCGAGTGGATTGCAACAGTCAGAGACTGTCAACGAATGCTACCCCGGAGAAGAAGGTCGATGACATGCAGTGCTGGCACCTCGCGCACTCTTCGCTGTAGGAGGCGTATTGTACATAGCTGCAGGCAGGAAGCATTCGCTGACTCAGCATGCAAAGGTAGCATGGGCCGTCACTCTGCTTTCTCGTGACCTGCAAAGGTTGATTTAAAAGAGTCGGCAGGGCAATCTTGCGTTGGTCTGAGCACAGTCACAGCACGCAACGACGCTCATGTTTTGCTAGCCGGCTCCATGGTCTCGTGTTAACTTCCAGGTGAAGAAAGAACTTGCATGCTTGTTGTTTTCTACTTTCTGTTGGCAGTGATCCCGCTTTTCGGATTCCAAATGCAAGGCCATCCAGCCGGCGCGGTTTCTGTTCAGGCACAGGGTGAATGTTGGATCATCGTACTTTGCAGTTGCTCTGCACGCAAGATGCAGGCACTGTGCCTCCGGAAGTTGATGTTGATGTCATTCAACATCATCCCGAGGCACAGTCGCATTTTGTTGCTTGCAGTTTGTACCGTGCAAGATGCCATCGATCATGGAATGCTACGCCGAATGCTTTCAGATGCACTTGTCTGGATGTGTACTGCAACAGCCGGTCTGCCATGCACGCATGCCGCTTACGCACGAGAATGCCTTGTGGCTTAAGCTTTGGCCAGGGCTTATTGGTGTCCAGAGGCACCGCTGGATCGCAGAAGGCACAGATCAGCGGCACCCTACTCCTTCGAGCGACGATTGCTCTGAATATTGAGCCGTCTGTGTCCACGTCAGCAAGTGCGAGTCGGCCTTGTGAACGCTCGTATGTGCAGGCTGGACCAAGTCGTGGTGCTGTGTTTGAACATGGCGTGGGGATCCTAAGACATTGTATCATTGCATCATATCAGTCCCTTGGCGCTGCCATCTTTGGGTGCTTGATATGGATGTTCGCGAGGAAATGTTACCGCAATGTCACTGTTTCATGGGTGTCAGACGTGTCAGTTTTGTGTACTGCAGGGCCGGCACTGGGTCTCCATCTTTGAAATCGACAGGTGGGATTCGGTTGTCGGATCGCCTCAGGCAGACACCCACAGTCTTGACAAAGAAGAGAATTGGCTTCTTGGCAGGTACTGGTTTGCATCTCCTCTTTCTGTGCGCTTGGGGCTGAGTGTCCGGTCGGCATCTTCCATCGCCAACAGGTGTGAATCCTTGCAAAGTTCCGCTTGGGTTCTTTGCATGGGAAGCTGCATCTTGTATTCCGAAGGTTCATGTCCACACAGTTTGCTCAGCGGTTGACGCTCCTCATTCCGAAAGGCTCTACCAGCGAGGAGGCTTGGCACGTGGCCCGTGCGCTTTCGTGCTCAGATGTGATAGAGCCTGGTCGTACCCGAGACAGCTCCATCTCAGATGATCGCAGCTCAGTGACTTTGCAACGTCATCGTGGCCACTGCAATGATTACTCTGGCGACGGTATCGCTCGGCTACAGGGGTTTGTTGGGTCATCTCATTGTCAGGCGAGATGGATTTCAACCGAGCCTGTTCAGACCTTGGCCCGTAAGACGCTGGACTGGCTTGCCATACGTGTCCCGTTTAACGCCTTGACAATACCAAGACGCCTGGAAGCTGCTTGGCATCGGCTTGCCTGCGGCGGCCAACACCAGCCCAGGTACAAAACTTGGAGCTTGCAGCTTTGGATACTTTTGTACCCATTCGAGCGACGATGCGCCTGAATTGGCATTCGTTCAGCAAGAGCTGGAAGCACACGCCATCAGGCAGATCGCGCTCAACTATCTCAGAGCCTTTCTACCGGTGTCCTAGCAGGCTCGCAGTCGCAGAGTGTCAAAGACATCGGAAGTTGGGGGCTCGGGGAAAATGTGTTTGGACACAAGCTGTTGCCAGTTGATGTGCTGGCCCCCATCGGCATTGGCCAGTCCATGTTGATCTGCGGACCCAAGGTCAGGGGTGTTTCAGATCGTTCTGAAAAGGTCTCTAGGCACAGGAAGGGACAATTTACATTCTATATGTTCAGGGTGATTTGAGCTGGATACGTCCCGGTCACTGTGGTTGAATCAGTGAGTTCTGTCTGAAGTGCAGAATAAAGTTAAGTTCGACATGCTGTCAGGCCAGAAACATCCTGAAAACTTGTGCGGGGCCCAAACCCCACTCCAAATACCAAGCGTGCGTGGTAAAGACTGCGCGCAGGAGCGGAAATCTTGTAGACAGCTTGGCAAAACCTAGCATGATTCGCTATGAACGGGCATCTGCCTGCGGTCTTCCTCCTCTTGCTAATCGCACCCTGGCTTCTTCAGGCAAAATTCCTGTCCTATGATCCAGAAACCCAACGACCCAAGTACGTCCGGCCCGTTCTGTCGAGGTTTTTGCTGATATCTTAAATCCTGCAAGTGCCCCGCCATCCAAAAGCAACTGACCCCTATAGCCAGCGAGTTTTCCAGCGGCTAGGCGGGGACTATCCGCACTGCGCGTGTCGGTCGAGTCGAAGCTTACGTGTTAGCGAGCTCATCAAAGGTGGTCGGTTCTGGCTTGTGAGCGACTGCCGGTGTCTCTGATGCCATCGGGTCCTAAGGCCTCGCAAGAGAGACTTCGCAACTAAACCCAAACATGCTGGAACCTTCGGGGGTGGTCTTGGGCGGGTGGCCTGCTGCGCTCGGTGCGAGCGCCCAGGGCCGGTGACCTTGCCAGCGAGCGCCAGTACAGCAGCTTCGTGTCCTAAACCTAACCCCAAGTCTTTCAGGACACTGGGAAGAGCACCTTGGCCAATCAGGCCCGTTCGGCCTGACATTCCAGAGCTTCGGTGCTACAGACGACGGGAGTCTTATCGCTAAGATTGGGGCTGTAGGTTTGGAGTGCAAGGTCTGAAGGTCTGGGGTTGAGGGTTTGGACCCTTACCCTGGATGTCAGGTTGTGGAGTATGCCCTTGCCGGCCGCCAAGTGGACAAGGCTCCGGATGCCGAATTCGAGAAGTCCCGGTTCACAGCAATGTCCGTATGTCAGTAACACGAGTCTAGCAGGTGGTGCATTTCCAGTCCTCTTCGGCACCACCAGCAGATCCAACCCTACAGCGCGTGGGGACTCTGATGCAGCTGGTCCGGGCGCCCAGGCCTTGCAAAAGAGTGGCCAAATAGTTCGTATGACGATACCGAAGTGCGAGGCATGCAGCAACCAGCAGTCATTGTGGCAGTGTCGACATGTGAAAGTTTGGACAAGCTGTATCTTGTCTGCCTCCCCTTACCGGAACAGGCTGTGCTGAGGTTTATTCTTTTTCCTGAGATGGGGCGGATAGGAAACAGTGGGAACACAGAACCCGAAACATGGCCTTACTCCAAAGGCAGAACATGTCACCCCAGTCTAAACTCTAAACCCGAAACCCATCTAAACCCTAGACCTATGACAGTGGCGAGGCGGTGCCAGCAGCTTCTTCTCAGGCCAAAAGTTTTGTTAGGGCGAGCCTGTGCTTGTTGATACTGCTGCAAGTAAAGGGAGAATTGCCAGTACTCCTTGTAGTACCGGTACCGCCAATACTACTATACGACTATACCACACCACTACTACTACTACTACTACCACGGAGACCAGATGAAGTGCTCTTCGT